TCTTCCCATTCCTGTGCATTCATCTTCTTTCGTGTACTTCTCTCTCAATCTATGGGTTTGCTGATCTTGCATGTCTGGTCAAGCTCTGGAGTTCCATTTCTGATGACATCATGCAACCACACCAGATGTCATGCTGACATTCTTTCACAATGCTCTGTCCTTTTATCAGGTGACATCACCCATAACCAAGATAGAGCCATAGAGCAGAAGAGTAAAATGCATACACCAGAGAGCCAAACAAGTCCTCCTTTAAATCTCTCATCATACCATGCTTTTTTGCTTTACCTTAGCCAAGGTATAACCTTGATTCCCTCATCTATAAGGTGAGGATAATAAAATATGCCTTGGATCAGGCCTGCTAGTTGACCCCAATATATGTTCTCTTCTTTTATAATAGAAACCTTCCAACTTCACCTTGAAACTTGGCTCCCAGCCAAGAATATCATTTCCCAGCCTCTCTTGCAGCCTCATGCAGCAAAAGGCATAGAAACAGAAGTGACATATCTAACTCTCTCTATGGCAAAAGGCATAGAAACAGAAATGGCATATCTAACTACATGTATGTGGACTTTTTCTTCATGCAAGTTCCTGGAACATGGAAGTGATATCAAGTCATCTCGGACCATCCAGCTGAGAACAACAACTTAAGGATTACAGAGTAATAAAATGGAAAGAAGACAAGAAATAGAGCTGAACTGAGGGAGACTGAGGCACAAGAAACCATTCAAAAGATCAATGAATCCAGAAGCTGGTTTTTTGAAAACATTAATATAATAGCTAGAATGCTAGCTAGACTAATAAAGAATAGAAGAGAGAAAATCCAAATAAACACAATCAGAAACAACAAGAAGGATATTACTACAGACCCCACAGAAATACAAACAACCATCAGAGAATGTTATGAACACCTCTATGCATATAAACTAGAAAATCTAGAAGAAATAAATTTCTGGACTCCCTAGAACGAACCAGGAAGAAATTAAATCCCTGACCAGCCTAATAATGAACTCTGAAATTTGATCAGTAATAAATAACCTACTAACCAAGAAAAGCCCAGAACCGGATGGATTCACAACTGAGTTCTAACAGAAGCACAAGGAAGAGCTGGTACCATTCCTACTGAAGATATTTAAAAAAAAAATGAGGAAGAAGGAATCCTCCCTAACTCATTCTATGAGGCCAGCATCATCCTGACCAAAACCTGGCAGAAGCACAACAACAACAAAAAAACTTCAGACCAATATTCTTGATAAATATAAATGTAAAAATCCTCAGCAAAATATTGGCAAATTGAATTCAGCAGCACATCAAAAACCTTATGCAACACCATCAAGTGGGCTTTATCACTGGGATGCAAGGTTGGTTCAATACATGTAAATCAATACATTTGATTCATCATATAAACAGAACTAAAGACAAAAATCACATAAGTATCTCAGTAGATGTAGAAAAAGCTTTTAGTAAAATTCAACACTCCTTCATGTTAAAAACTCTTTAAAAACTAGGCATTGAAGGAATATACTTCAAAATAATAAGAGCCATCTATAACTAACCTATAGCCAACATCATACTGAGGGCAAAAGCTGGAAGCATTCCCTTTGAAAACTAGAACAAGACAAGGATGCCCTCTCTCACTACTCCTATTCAACATAGTATTGGAAGTCCTGACCAGAACAAACAGGCAAAAGAAAGAAATAAAGTGTATCCAAATAGGAAGAAAGGAAGCCAAACTATCCCTATCTACAGATGACATGATCCTATATCTAGAAAACTCCATGGTCTCGGCCCAAAAGCTCCTTAAGCTAATAAAACAACTTCAGCAAAGTCTCAGGATGCAAAATCAATGTACAAAAATCACTAACACTCCTATCTACTGGCAACAGTCAAGCTGAAAGCCAAATCAGGAATATAATTCTACTCACAATTGCCATACATGCACACAAAATAAAATACTTAGAAATACCAGCTAACCAAAAAGGTGAAGGATATCTACAAGGAGGACTACAAAACACTACTCACAGAAATCAGAGATGGCATAAACAAATGGAAAAACATTCCATGCCTATGAATATGAAGAATCAATATCCTTAAAATGGCCATACTGCCCAAAGCAATTTATAGATTCAATGCTATTCCTATTAAACTACCAAGGACATTATTCACAGATTCAGAAAATAATGCTATTTTAAAATTCATATGGAGCCAAAAAAAGAGCCTGAATAGCCAAAGAAATCCTAACTGAAAAGAAAAAAGCTGGAGGCATCATGCCACCCAACTTCAAACTATACTATAGGACTACTGTAACCCAAACAGCATGGTACTGGTACAAAAACAGACATGCACACAAATTGAACAGAATAGAAACCCCAGAAATAAGACCACACACCTAAAACAATCTGTCTTTGACAAAACTGACAAAAACAAGCCAAGGGGAAAGGACTTCCTATTTAATAAATGGTGCTGGGATAACTGTCTAGCCATATGCAGAAGGTTGAAACTG